AGAATACATCGCTGGGGACATAGCCCCGTTGAAAAGTGAGCAGGGCACTGCCATTCATTGAGACCCCCCAGGGACTCAGTAGGCAAAAGGCCTCCAGGAGAGCCACGGGTTCCTGATATCTCAGTCTTCCTTCACCCTGCCTGCCTCCCTCAAAAGCCCTAGCATGGTTCCCGCCACCGCACAAGCTGTCGCCGCTGTGGCCCCAGCTGCGCTCCAGCTCCCCGCTGTTCCCGCCGCCGAGGGGCATGGCCGCGCCCAGGTCGGGCTCTAAAAGCACAGGAAAGAACTACTTAGCAAGGGAGCAGTTCTTACCTTGTTTTCGAGAGGACCCCGCCCCAAGACTCACTGTGCACCCCTTTCCTGGCCCCGAACCCCGGGCCACAAGCTGTCGCCGCTGTGGCCCCAGCTGCGCTCCAGCTCCCCGCTGTTCCCGCCGCCGAGGGGCATGGCCGCGCCCAGGTCGGGCTCTAAAAGCACAGGAAAGAACTACTTAGCAAGGGAGCAGTTCTTACCTTGTTTTCGAGAGGACCCCGCCCCAAGACTCACTGTGCACCCCTTTCCTGGCCCCGAACCCCGGGCCAAGCCCGTGTGGAGTCCTTTCCTCTCGCCAGAGCCTAACAGTGCCGCTCTGGTCCCCGGGGAAGTCGCCCTTTCCCCAAAGCCGACTCTCAAGACAGGCTCTTCTCCTTGGGCTGTGGAAGGTGGCTGAGTTTGACAAGATTTTTGCTGCGAGGATCGAGCGTGAGTGTGTGGGCCTGTCCGACTGGGGCTGGCACCGGAGATGCGTTGTTCTGAATTCAAATTCACAAAATAAAACGAAATGAAATATTTTGTGATCCCTGACTCTCAGCTTGGAAGCAGCTTCTCTCTGAGGGCCATGGCGTTGAGATCCACAGTTGGCTTTTGAAAGGAGCAGCCTCTTCCTCCTTTGGGGTCTTTCTGGCAAGCAGTGGCTTGGGTATCACCTCGAACGAAGTCCTCTTTCCTAGCGCGACTTTGCATGGTGACACTGAGCCCGAAGTCCACGAAGAAGCAGCATTTTCTTCCCTGCTTCCCACCTCTCTTCTGTCTTGGCTTAAGCCCTGTTTTACTCGCAGGACAGGTACAGGGGGAACGGTGAGTTTTCACGGAAATGCAGGCCAGGGGGAGCAGGCCTACGGAGTCCGTGGGAGTTCTAGCGAGGTACAAGTTCTTTCTTCCGGGCAGACCACGGACAGTTGGAACTTGACTCTCTCTTGGTTCCCAAACGCAGCGGCACAACCTCCTGGGGGAATAGGGCTGTTTGATATTTAAAATTTAAAGATAGAGAAACTTCCTTAAGAGGCTCCTGCGCTCAGAGAAATCAAAGTATACCCGAAAAAAAAGAGGGGGGGATGCTGACGGAGGTGGTTTTCTTAGCAAATCGAAATGCGACCTTCAGCGACGCTGTGGGGCAGGCGAGGGTTTGCATTCAGTGAGGGCGCAGGCCGGGGAGCTGCGCCGCACCCCGGGGGCGTGCCCGCACTGCGCGCGCACTCCCGGCCGGGATCCGGAGTCCCTTCTGCTTTGCGTACCTGAAGGTAGGATGGCTCGGGTGGGGACGTGTGCGGCCGGGGGAGCCCACCGGCACTGTCCCTTTGCCAAATGATAGCTGCCCGGTGCCTGCTGTCAGCTCAGTTCCAGAGGCCGGCTCCAGATGGGCTTCACTGGGCGTGGCTCGCATTGGGAGACAGCAGTGACCCAGGAAAGTGACTTTTTCTTGGCCAAGCCCAAGGGAACGCATAGCTGGTGGAGCAGCATCCAGGGAGGTGACTGTTTAGAGTCCGCTGCAGAAAACCCAGGAGCATCTAGAACACGACAAAGTTTCAGGTTCTCCAGGCTTCTGGAATCAGTGAATAACCAACCTGTAGTCGACAAATATCTCCGCAAGAGTGTTCCTTTTATTTAGTTGGCTAGTTACTACAGGCTATTTAGTTTACTGCAGGCGCTTGGCACAGCCCACCAGGTGAGAGGAGGGTAGCCTTTTCATCCCTGGGAACGTCAGTCCTTTTTGGCCAAAGTCTTCCCGTCGCGGAAGCCGCAAAGCAGTACAACTCTCGGGCTTCTTTTTTGCAGTCTGCTCGCAGGTGTCAGGCCTCAGCCAGAGAGCTCTCCCGCCAGCGGAACCCTTTAACGTGTCCCTGACACGAAGGCCCAGCGCTTGGGGGCTCTGGTTCTAACGTTTTAGACAGAACCCGGTCACCACCCCAGGATTTCCGAGCCAGCTAAGGGGGAGGAGGCCGGCCAGGCCTGTAAAGCCCGCAGAGGTCCCTCTGCTTTAGTAGCCTCAGGGCTTTTGTTTTCAGCCGACTTGGAGTAGGCAGGAACCGGCGGTGTAGACGGAGCGCAGATACGATACTGTAGGGGATTCCCCTTCGGAGCCAGGAACACGGGGGTTGGGGGGTTGGCGTGGGAAGAGTGAACCCCAAAGATTTTTCGTAAGGACTCGTGAAGCATAAGGGGGTGTGTATGTGGGGTGGTGCGGTTCGGAGCCTTGTCCTTTGGATTCCTCAAATGAAGAGGAGAAATAGGGTGAAGTCTTGGAACCCAGGAGCCTAGGAGACGCGATGACCCGCTCCCTCGTTATCCCGAAGGAAAGCAGACGGCACGATTACTCACGTGGACCCCCGACCCGTTCCGCTTCCATCTGCGCCACTGTCTCGCGAGGACCCCCAGGAGCCTCGGCCCGCTCCTGCCCTGGGCCTCCCCCACTACAGGCGTGGAGAAAAACCTCTGGCCCTGGTGGTTCCGGGTCCACTCCCAGGTACTGAGGGGTTTCCGGGCTCCTCCGCAACCCCCATTGCGGCGAAAACTCGCCCTGCTCGCGCTCCAGCCTCAGGATGTCGCTGACGGAGAAGGGGGTGGAGGTGACCCGGCTCAGCAGCATCGCGGAGGCGGTGGCGGCTGGGGCGGGGCCGAGGAGTCCGCTTCCCCGCGCCG